ATATTCCTATGCTTGGGCTTTAGTGGGCGTCCAACCTCATGTTTCCTTAAAATATATATATATATATATATATATATAAATCTATACAATCATTGCCGGCGGCGATATTGAAAGCAAAAACTGGAAAAATAAAAAAGATGGAAAACGACATGTCAGCGGTGGACGCTCTAAGGCCTAAGCCTCTGACCAATGATATTCCAAAGGTTTGCAGAAAAATGAGAGGGCTTAGTTGTCTTTTGAGCTACTGGCCAATCAAATTTGATGATTCCTCTACCAAACATTCTGCAAATAATTTTAACCACTACTCAAGAAATATTTATTTATACAAAGCAAAATAACAATATTTAATAAAAAATACTTCTTGATAAGTATGTAAATGGTTATATCATTTTCTCAGACCCAAAAAAAATAATTGGTTATGTCCTTTTTCTTTTTTCTTTTTCTAAAAGACAAGAGACAGAGGGGGAGTCAATTTTCTTAGCTTTCAGTTGTTTAATGCTGAAGGGAAGCCTTGCTTGACATGTAGAAGAAGAAGACCTCTCAAATACACAAAGACCCCTCTTTCTTTCCTCCCCTCTCAATTTGTGATCTGTGGAGGAAAATTCATTAGGATTTTGCTTCTCAGGTCCTGCAATTCATACGTAAGTTCCTCTTCCAGTTTTTCCTGTCTGTAATGCTCTATTTCATGATTGATTTGATTGAATATCTGTTTTTATCTTCTGGGTTTTGTTGGGATGTTGATAAAGCTTGGTGCTTTTGCAAAACTTTTTGTTAATCCTTTCAATTTATATGATATGACTGTGTTCTGTAGTATCCGTAGTTTAGATTTCTAATTTTGACGATTTATGAGCTGAAATGGGATGTGCCGCAATTTGGTACATACACGCTGCAACTAAACTGTGGTTTGATTTGAAATTTGTGGGAGGTTTTGCAACACATATGGATTTGTACATACAGACCTTTAAGAATGAAATTTTTTTGAAGACCCAAGAACTAAGGTGTTGTTGACCCAAGTACTTGTTCATTATAGTACCATGGAAATTTTGTGTTGTATTGCCACCTCAGCTGGATTATTAGCAAATGGTACTGGGACCAGCCCCTGTGTTCGGTTCCATTTTGAAGCTAATGATTACTTAGTATGCTTTAATTAGTTATGATTAATGGATTTAGATGCTCTGAGAAAGGTGGTTTCTGAATGATTTTGAACCATAATAAGGGAGGGCTTGTTTAGCCACAGGCAATTACAAACTGTAGTGCAAGCTTGTAACTTTTGCATTGGTTGTTTTCTGTTTGATCTGCAAGCAAGTAAAGATGAATGGTTTCTCACTGATCATGAACAAAAAATTTGTGGGATAAATTGGATCTGAAGTGAGATTGTAATTTTGTGAAACAGGTTTATTGAGGTGTGGCAAGTGAGGACTTTTGACAACTCATATTCATCTGCTCTAGCATACATGGATCAAAGTACTCAAACTTCCCTTGATTTATTATTGCTTACTGTTCTTTGTATATGATAAATGATGCCTATATATTCACTTATTCAGAACTAAAACGGCTAAGTTAACATGATCAGTCTCTAGTTCCACTACTTCCCAACTCTGATACAAGATTTATTGGTGTTGCAGATGCTTCGGCAGAGGGTTTGAGAAACGACCTTGAGCTAGTGAGATCCTCCTCTGAAAAGCAACTTTTGCGACCATCAGCCCGATATTATTCAGTTTTTAAAGGTAGCAATCTGTTTGGACCTTTTTTTTGCCAATCCTGTTTTGGACTTTGCAACGTATAAGTGCTTTCACATTTATCTGTGACAATTATGAATCTTCCTCTCATGGACTATGGAATGTGTTCGTTATCTCGGTAACCCTATGAATCTTCCTTTTTTTGCTGACCCTATTGTCTGTAATTCTTTAAGAAATGACATTTTAAGTGTTCTGTCGTTTTTAATGTATATCTGGTTGCATGTTAAAAGCTTAATCAGCTTGCTTACATCCTATTAGAGGGAAAGGCATTGTCTGTTTATTTGGATTTTCAATGTAATTCACGGCATTCTAGAATTGATGGTTGTGCTCTCAGACTCTGCTGATTTATCATTGGGCTTACATGCAGTTTTTATTTAACAAAAATCATTAATCTGATCCGAAATGCATATAATTTCTACTTTCTGTGCATAAACAAGATCTTTATAGCAACTGGATCTTTTATACAAACTGTTTATCCAGACAAGTGAGAGGTATTATGGTCATGGTAGGGCAAGCAGCAGATGCTGCAGATCCAGAAAAAGGCAGGTATACCCTAATTCGAGATGCAGAGGACTTTTCATCAGGGATGTACGAGAAGCAGCTTCCATGCTTTGGCTGCGGGATAGGATGGTTTTCGTGAGTATCTTTAATACCTTCTTCCTCCTTTATTTTCATTACCCCTTCCCTTGTCTCATTCCTATTTCTTGCACTGCAGTTTTCTTTTAGGCTTTGTCTTCCCAGTGATGTGGTACTATGCTACAGTTCTGTATTTTGGAAATTACTATCGCAAGGATCCGAGGGAGCGAGCAGGACTGGCTGCCTCTGCAATTGCTGTATCTCTCTCATCCTATCTAACATTTTTCTTTAAAGCCTTAAATTTTATATTTTCAACTATGTTTCAGAGAGTAAATCAGCATAATTATCCAATTGTTGCAGGCACTAGCTTGTTCTGTTGTGCTGTTGATTATAGCATTGTTTCGGATATTCTAGCCTTTGTCAACCGGATGTAAAATGTGCTAACATCATCTTTGCAAGCATGAAGAAAGCATAGTTGAATTGGAAGGGACTTTTAAGTACACAGATACTAACACTTTTTCGTCGAGAGGGACGTAAAAGAAAGAAGAAAAGAGGTGAAGAGAACCTTCATACGTCTATACTTACTACCAGCTTGGATGATGATGAGCTACAATACCATTTTCATATTGAGTGATTGTGTTTGTAAACATTGTAATTATACAACTTTATAGAGGTATACAGAGCTGTGATCAAGGCATTCCCAGTTTGCAAGTTTGATTCGTGCGTCTTTATCTTTATCTTTAAACGCAGAACTTGACCATTATGGACATTCATATTTCTGAGGTTGCCGCCACCTTAGTTCATAGTGGTTGAAAAAATGAAACCCCCAAAAAAAACCGTTAACCTCACGATAAGGGTAATTCCCTTCTCTCCTCCTCCAGCTGCTTCTCTGTTTATCTTTGATTTCGAATCTGACATCTTTTCTTATTCTGAATGAAAAAACACTGCTTATGCTTTGGGCTTGACGAACGAAGGGTAATTCCCTTCTCTCCTCCTCCAGCTGCTTCTCTGTTTATCTTTGATTTCGAATCTGACATCTTTTCTTATTCTGAATGAAAAAACACTGCTTATGCTTTGGGCTTGACGAACGAAGAACACTTGAGCAGGGGCCTCCCAGCTTTTTTATATACGACACCACCTAATTCAAACCGTTTTCCTTGGCCAGCCAACTAGGATTAATAGAATTCTCAACCAAATTGGACTTTCTTTCTCATTTTTTGGTTTGTTTGTTGACCTCAATAATAAAAAAGAACTAAGAGGGAGGGACCAACCATAAAGCCAGGCTGGATTAACAAATGTGGCCAGAGACAGGTAAGTTAAGAATGGATCTTGTATTATGAGAAAATCATCACAATGTCTGTCTGATTCATATAGAATTGAATAATTAATGACAATGATATTTCTTCTGAAAACTTTTCAAACAGAAGAAAAAATATGAGTCCTAGACTTGTAACTCTGAATACAAACCGCATAAAAAAAAACTTTGCATATAAAAAAAGGTTACAGCCAACCATCTGCATTTGATTCTGAATTTGAATGAGGTTCTAGCCAACCGGGGCCGGCAAGGCTGCAAAGGAGACACTACACTGATTTCCAGTCACTCCACTTCAAACTGTATTTTAATCCTTGGCCACCAAATGAACATGCTTGTTCTCAACTTTAAATCTGGAGCTTGAATTGATCTGGCACCAAACAAGTAATATGATTAAAAATAATAATGTAAAGGTGGAGCCAATGATTAATAGATACCATTTAATTGAAAGTACTAAATAAACATTGGATAGGCAAACCTTGTGATCAAGCATATCACTCAATTTGGCTTCATCATCTGTTATGCCTGATTCTTCAATAGCCTTCAGAACAAGTTTTTTCAATTTCCTCATCTTTAGGACTCCGTCATTCTGCACCAATGCATACAAAAAGCAGATTTTAGTATATATAGAAACAAAACTGTTTTCTACTCTAATAATGGTCTCCGACTCTCCATCCTAAGGAATGGAAAGTGCGTCTTTTCTCATGCCATCGCGCTCTTTTCACTAATGCATGCTATAAAGAAAGAGGACGAGTATTACTTTCTTTTTCTTTCTTTTTTCCTTTTCTAAAGTGGCATAATTCATTGCGCAATTTTACTGGAAAGCAAGAAATGATGTTATTCAGAACACATACCGATTTTAAGGTTGATGTGATCAACTTCTTCCACTTTATTTTCATACTGGATTCATTCTTAGCAGAGCTAGATTCCACCAACTTATCTTTCTCCAACTGACTCTCCTTTCCATTTGCTTCTGTCTTCCCACTCTGAATCACTTCATCTGATGTATTATCCCTAGCCTTCTTCCTTGATTCATCATTCTTGGATGCATCAAGTTTTCTCTTTTTCTCTGACAACAAAGTTCCATTCCCTGCTTCAGAACTGTTTCGCTCCGCATTGACTCTAGATGCATCCTGCAATTTAGGTTCCTCAATTTGTTTATTCTCAGGTGTAGGTTTTGTATCCAGGGCAGATTCTTCCGGCTGCTTAGGCTGTTGCTTTGCAGCGTGGATTGCTCGGGCTCTTGCCCTGTGCTTCTTTCCTTCGGCATGGAGCAGCAGGGTCTGCTCACTAGTAGCTTTAGTATTGCAAAGACTGAAAAAACACAGATCCAAAAAAGTATGATCAGATCCCTATCATGGAAAGAAAACTTAATGCAATCTCTGAATACCAGGCTAATAATGTATCATGCATATTTTATTGTGAAGATAGTTGGTAATAGTTGGTAGTACCAAAATCACTATGTCAAAGTGTATTGTCTCTTCTCCAACTCTTCCATGTTTCATATCTACAACAGATGATGCATTTATTCAAAACAAATTAATTTAGCAATTTGCACCATTGCTTTCTATGGGCAGCAGCAGCAATATGAATGCACACAAACATTTAATAAAAATATGCATGCATTTCCAAGGAAATTCATTACATTGATTAATTTTAGGTCTGAACAAGCATGTGAATAAAAGATTATCATAAAATCAGAACAAGGAAAACAATACCTACAAAACCACGGAAAGCGTTTAGATAACCCAACAGTAATATCAAAATCAGGTTGCTGTTTTGAATCCTTGTTGGGCTTGGCTCCCCCACCATTCAAAGCTTTCCCTTGTCCCTTTGGACCATATTTTTCCTGAAAGCAAAAACAAAGAAATACACTGTATACCAAACTGAAGCTTATAACCGATATAAGAACTATTTTTTCCCAACATTAAGTAGTAGATATTGGTCCAATGGACATGGAAAATGAAATGAGATATCCATTATATAAATTCTAGCATTGTATTTAGACTGTGATGCATAACCCAATTCATAAAAATCTCCAACCAAGCCAATTCGATCAAATTATTAGATAGGAAAACAATAAGAGACTTACTGCCTCAGTAATGCATTGTGTGTGACTCTGAACGCTTTCTTGCCCAAACATCTCTCCGCAATCAATGCATGATAGCTGAAACATAAAAAATATTAACAAAGTGAGCAACCCAGAAAATAAGTTAAAGACTAGGACTTTATTAAGGCCTATATTTTCTTGGCAACCAAACAGCGAGTCCCAGGTAATGAGGATCGGGAAAAAGGAGACCTTGCGAGCAGAGCAGGACCTGAAGTGACCCGGCAACTTGGGTTTCTTGAGGTTGTCTCCACAATCCTCACACTGAAACCACACCATCTCTCTGTTTCAGGAAGAAGAAAGAGAAAGCTCTGTGACCAAATGACCGAAGAGGTGAGCTGGGGTTTTAGGCCATTTTTACAGGAATTAGAATTAGGGTTTTATGTTTGTTAAGAGTTTCCTACCAAAACGACTGCGACCCGTCTCATTTACGTACGCGTTTCGACCCACAAGTGAAGGAATAACGGAGCCCAAAATTTGGGCTCCCTCTTTCCCACTTTGAAGCCGAGAGACTTACAGGAGCAACTAAAGCAAGCCCAAGTTATGCTGAAGTAAGCAAGAATTCTATAGTGAAGATCTTATATATGGCCTTTAGGTGAGATTCTATCTCTTAATCATTGGATCAGATTAACCAATTTGATCCAACAGCTAACCAATTTGATCCAATTGTTAAGAGATAATGTCTCACCTAAGAGCTATATATAAGGCCCTCACTATAAAATGAATATAAAGTAAAACATATTACTTTCTTTTTCATCACTTAACATGTTTTGACATGTGTTACCGTTAGCCGCCTAAATGCTTGTACATATGAATTCTTGATTGTCAATACTTGTGGGGGGCGGTTATGCATTAATAGTCTAAATTCGTCGATAAATATATAGGTGATTAAACGTAGCATTCTTGTAACATTTTCTTATGTCATACGTAAATTTACAAATTTAAATTCTTAGTGAATTCGTTTTTTGTCATACAATATTCATTGAAGATAAAAAATGCTTCATCAAAGTTGGGTTCGAAAATCCCAAAAATGGGTAAAAATTTGTTGTTCGAAGAAATTCTCTATACCAATAGCGTCAAGTAAGGGTTGGTTTCTACCTAGGCCTTATTTGAAATTGCAATTTGCTAAGTCAAGCCTCAAGGCTCAAAAGAATGGGGACTTCTCTCAAAGTTTGACTTGTAGGAATATAAAGATAAAGTTAAAGAAAAGAAAAGGGACTGCCAAACGCTAGCTAGCCTAGACCTTTGGAGAAACTTGGACGGCACTTGGCCTTGGTGACCAGTGGCTGTCCTTTCTCAATCTGTCTCTTCACTCAGATTAATTTGTCCCCAAGAAACCAGTCCCTTCCTTCCCTACTCCAAAATTTCAATCATACACAAAAGCTTTGTCATCTGTCGACACGCACCACAATCCCAGCTCACGGCCTCATATCAAAGGGATGAGATGCAAAGTGTTATTTAATCAGTTGGAAAATAAAAAAAACAAGATACACTTGCTTGCTTATTAAAAAGTCGCTTGCAAGCCATGGGATGGGACCTCTCTCTCTCTCTCCCTCCTTTGAAATGTGCAATAAGGACATGCGTGGGTCACGGATATAAGCTAAAGCACTAGGATTCAAATTATAGCTTTTCCCACAATTGCTTAGTGCTCTTCAGCTCCTGCTGTGATTTTTTGAAGTACGTATACTATTAGTTGTCACGCTTGGCAGCTTTTCCAAGTCAATTTTTCCACCAAAAAACTAGCGCCTCATTTACAGTCTGAAACCAACACAGTTTGAGAAAAACAAAATAGAAAAATGCAGAAAATTGGTAGCTCAGCGCTCTCATAAAAAGCAGCTTATAGACATTGATGCTTTAACAGAACAGTAGATTGTAAAAAGCATTAGCAAAAGAACAGAGAGGAGGAGGAGGGTCGGTCTTTTGACAGAGTGTCACATAAAAGGATATAGTTTTCAATGATTGCAGCCACGCTCCAATCATTCAAACAAAGGAAGAAGAAGATGCTTCAGTACTACGAGTGTCCTGTGCTTCTGTGTCGTATGGGCTACACGTGCATGGCTCTACCTGCCCAACTTGCTTTGCTTGCCTTAGAAATACTTCCATTTCATCCTCTTCTTCTTAGTTTGATGGATTGGCAGAATTTTTGGATGGAAGATTCATAATCGAAGGTCGGTATATTATTGGTTGTCAGCACCGACTCTTTGTTGAGTGATACACACTGCCAAAACAGCTTAACGTATGTGTAATGCATGATTCCTTTTTTATTTATTTATAAATCATAAGTTATAGCATATCCTCATGATTCACGTGTATAATTTTCCTTCCTTCCCCTTGATGTATATCTCCATCCATCTCTTGTCATTTACCTACATCAACACGTAATTCGTATACATTAAAAAAGGAATTCGTAATATGTTATGTCTGTATCTTTAATTTACATAATTTATAGTAGAGACCGACACGTATTACTCTTATTCGATTCAAAAGAACAATTTCCTCCCTAATACATATTTAATTATCAAAAAGATAATCAAAAGGTTTTTGATTAACAATAAATTGTGAAACGTGCATCATTATTTGAGTTCAATTTTTCAGGTGTAATAGTATCTCTGTCTGCTAAAGGCTATTTGCTTCCCAAGTGTTTTTATTTTATTTTTTATACTCTTTATCTCCACAACCAAAAGGCTCAAAAAAACCCAACTCATCGAAAGCTATGCAATGCAAGTAAACAAAGCCTAAAAGACCCACCAAAACCACCACCACCCACCTACTTGGTCCCCAACTCACCATCCCCGCCACCGCTGCAACCTCCATGCCTCGCCGCCATCCGTCATCGTCCCCGCTTCTCAGTCCGCCGGTGCTCATCATACTCCTGCCCATCATCACCTTCCTCTTCCTCTTCTGCACCATCCCTCCATTTCTGTCCCTCACCTCTCAAATCCTCCGACCCACAATTTCCGTCAAGAAAAGCTGGGACTCCCTCAACGTTTTCCTCGTCGTCTTTGCGATTCTCTGCGGGATCTTCGCCAAGCGAAACGACGACGGATCACCCGCCGAGGAGGATCCTATCCAAAATGCTTCTGACCCGTTAAATAATAGTATTGCCGCGAACAACACAACAAACACATCAGAACCCGAAGTCTTGCTTCCACAACAATGGTTTGGATTTTCAGAGAGGCCACCGGAAACCAGCGGTGGCCGGTTGCGGAGGAGCAGCAGCTCCTACCCAGATCTGAGGCAGCTCGGCCAACAGTCCTCATGGGAATCTGGAGATCACAGCAAGTCTCAGTTTCGCTTCTTCGATGACTTCGAAATCAACAACACTACTTATCATCGTACTCCGCCGCCAGTTTCGCGCCAAAGCCGCTCCCGTGAGTACTCGGATGTAATTAAGGAGATTCCGGTGGACACTTTCGTACTTCGCTCTTCTCCTCCTCCGCCGCCCCAGTCGCCTGCGCCGCCACCTCCACCGCCTCCGCCGCTGCGTCATCAAAATCCGAGAAGGGCGTATGAGACCGTTAGACGTAGAGATCATAAGGAGAAAGTACCCAACACTAACAGTGTTATTGTTAATGAGGCTCAACAATTCGAGCAGGTTCGATCTCCGCCACCAACGCCGCCGCCTCCTCCTCCGCCACGTCCTGCAGCGTCGCCATCGCCAATGCGGATTCGGCCGGAGCATAAACGTAGAAAGAGTAACGTGAAGAAGGAGATAGCTATGGTTTGGGCTTCGGTTCTGTCCAACCAGAGAAAGAGGAAGAAGAAGCAAAAGCCCACCAGTAGCAGAGACATTTACGATACTGCGACCCACTCTCCGCCAGAACAACAAGTACGAGAAGGAGGAGGAGAAGGAGAGTATTATTACACAAGACCACCGCCGTCGCAGCCTCCTCCGCCGCCACCTCCGCCCCCGCCACATTCTGTATTTCACAGTCTGTTCAAAAAGGGAATGAGCAAAGCCAAAAAAGTTCACTCCGTCTCGAATCCACCAGCTCCACCCCCACCACCTCCACGATCCACCCCCCCGCCGGGGAGGGTTACGCCCGCCGGGGGCAGGCCGCCATTGCCCACGAAGACGAACAGTTATTTATCCGAGGAGAATGTGAACAGCGGCTGCCAGAGCCCGTTAATTCCTGGGGCGCCGCCTCTACCGCCGTTTAAAATGCCGGAGCTGAGGTTTTGTGTGCGAGGGGACTTCGTTAAGATACAGAGCGCACAGAGCTCCCGTTGTGGATCTCCTGAATTGGAGGACGTTGATGCAACGCCAGATAAGGAAGAAGAGTCGGAGTCAAAGTCACAGTCAGAGTCACATATTAGAGTCAACGTAATGGACGGTAGAGATGGTGGTGGTGGTGGGCCGTCAGTGTTCTGTCCCAGCCCAGATGTTAATACGAAAGCTGATAACTTCATCGCTAGGCTGAGAGATGAGTGGAGGCTTGAGAAGATGAACTCGATGAGGGAGAAAAAGAAGATGGCCTAATAATCTTCTGCAATGGTTTTCTTTACCATTTTCTACTGGTTTGATTAATTACTTGATAGTTTTGGGAAGGTAATGCACACACACTTACAGTCAATTTTTTACAGATTGGTGATATAGAAGGCGGCAAATGGCTCTGACTGTGTTTTTTTGTTCATCTTTTGGAGCACCATTTGCAGAGAGAGAGAGATGTGAATTTGGATTTCTGGGTTTGAATTGTTTGATGATATCAGTGTGTATTATAGCAGAGCAACTAGGTAGTATCTACATATTATAAATTTTTACACAGGCAATGGGTTCTGAGTGTGGCTTTATTTTTTCCTCACATCTTGGAGCTCCTTGTGGAAGTATGCTGCTGAGTGCTGGATTTCATGTATGGATTGGGTTGGGTTGGGCTCTAACTGTGTTTTTTGTTCACCACTTAGAGCCCTTGCCCTTGGTTTGTATTGATGTACATACAAATATAATATGCGTATGAGTTTGCAAGATTTGACCTGATTTTGCTTTTGTATGCAGTCTTCTTTAACCCTTCTTAGTGCTGCCTATGCTACTACAAGTGGTAAAGATAGGATAATTATTCTCCAAACTATGAAGCTTTAGTTGACATCATTGCTTTATGAGAAATCCGGAGTTAAGCTTACTAAACCCTAAACCCTAAACTCAGCCCATGAAATCGAAATTCGAAACCAATTGCGCACCCGAATAATTGTAAAAGATGAACTAGGGTTGGTTTACCTTCCAACCTGCCCAAATTGTATTGCTTGAAGTGGGTTATAGTTTAAGATAAAAGTGAGGTTATTTGAACAAACAGAGTACGAGTAGCATGATTGCAATTTACTAAAAGCTTTGATTCAAGAAATGTATACAAAACAATGCTTGTTGGGCAAAGTCGGAGGACTTTCCAATACCCATTTGAAGTTACGCTTGCCGATGAAATCATTAGATCAAGAAGCAAAAATTCAAGCAACAAACACTTTTTCGATATATAATTTTAGCCAAAGTGCATTGGGGACGGAAAAGTAAGACACCATTTTACCCTTTCCTAGCTACCATCAGTGAATCCTTTTTGGCAATTTAATTGATCTGGGAGGCCCCAATGTTCACCAATCAAGCAGCTTAAATATACATGAATGAACAAAACAAGTTTTGCTGTAAGGTGGTCCAACGTAGTTGAGTATGACCCATGACATAATTTTTTTTTTTTTTTTTTTTGGTGGACGAAATGACCCATGACATAAATTAATACGTAGGTTTAGGGATACAATTTGCACGGTGGACACATGAAACCTAACCTCACATTGAGAAAACAGTTTTTTCAAATATGATATGTAGTCAAAATTTTATGCACAATAATATAGATTAGTACACATCTACTTGAAAAACAATTTTCTCTCAAAATTTGACTAGGTATGAAAAATGGACTTTTGAAATACTAATGTTTTCAATGATATTTTTGGCAGTTTATATTCCTTACATCTTAAATAAGTAAACACGATTTTATGAGATTTTAGCATAAAGTATACATTGACTTTTTTAGGTATCAATATTGGTATAAATTGTATCTTATTCTAAAATTGAATTTTCATATTTTGATTTGTTGGGAATTAGATTTTCTAGTATTTTAATTGAATCCAAATGGGGGTACTTCTTTATTTATACTTAAGAAAATGTTTGGAATGGAAATAAAGTAAGGAAATAAGCAATCCATGGATGGCCCTGCCCGAAAAGCCCACTTAGGCTCGGCCCTATAGACGAGCTTTGACCAATCTCTTTCAAATCTTGGTCTAGCCCAGCCCAATCAAATGACAAATCCTAATTTAAATAATATTGAATATGTGGAGTTGAAATAGGTATGAATCAGTTGGCTAAAGCAGTGAATCACTCTCCTGACACTCGAGTTCGAATTAGTCTTCCAACTTGCCCAACTTAGTGTGATGGGTGGGTGATCAACCCACCCAAAGAAACATAGTACGTATATAAACCCAACTCATTAATGGGCCATGCAAGAACAAGGCCTAAAATTATCAAAAATTGAAATCGCAACCCAAACCAACAAGTAAAACCCAAAACTTTCTATAAACAGAAAGTTTTGGACTGAGGTGTGAAGAATCCTGACCAAAAAAAAGGAATGAAGAATTTAAATTAAGCACACTATGGCTGCTGTTTCAGCAAACCACTTTTCAATGAAGCTCGCAGGGCTCAAAGCACTCGAGGACGAGTACAAGGAGTTAGTATGGGCGGTGACATGGGTTTCGTCCACCAAGACCCAACCCGCTTTGTTGTTAACAGGGTCACTGGACAAGATCGTCAGGCTGTGGCAGTCAGAAGAGCTGGTGAACTGGGACAAAATGATTGGCAGTGGCGGCTCACCCCTTTGGCCACATCGCGGCCTCGGCTTTGCTTGACAGCTACATTATGGTATTCGATGTCTACTTCATCAGCACCATCGCCAATCTCGAAGCCTTGCCATATGAAGTCTGACAATTACAGTTCAATCCTCAGGTACCTCTGTAATTTTCAATTTTTTCTAAAATTTCGACAATTATTTTTGGGTCCTTTTGAGGTTTTTAAATCAATTTCCTAGTTTGTTGCAAGTTGAATAGGGGTACTTCTTTACTTGTTTATGTCTCTATCTATGAAAACAAGTTTGCTTCTTTTCTTTTTGGCTCGAGAAATTTTGCTAAAATTAGACTTGAGATTTAAATTGTAGATTTGGTTGATATGTCACTTTATGAGAAATATTGTATTTGCCTTGTTTGGTATAATCTTAGTTATTAATTGTTAAATTGATGTTTCAAGTAGACCAAATTGGTGGCATGAGCACAGACAAGGCTTGGAATTCGATCGACCAAGCCCAATTCTTGGCACATTTTGAAGCCTTTGTAAAATGCATAGATATTACCAAGATTGCCACCAGGAATAATGACCCAATTGGGGACTTCCCAATCGAATTGCTGCAAAATCTCAGCTGCAGCAGTCTTCTACCCTTCGATCCTCAAGTTGTTCAACGAATTTGCCAAGTAAATTGGCAATTCGGCTGTGATTTCTCTGATCAATTTCATGCAACCGTCGAAATCAGTGTCGATGCTCAGCACAAACGCATTGTTTGCAATGGGGTGGACTAATTGTGCCATTGAAATTTTGTTCGTGGGTAAGAATACGATGAAGGAATACCTGCGGAGGTGCAGTAGGCGAAGAGGGCGGCCCGACGTGTCGCTGGTAGAGGCACAGCCGACTCCAACGACATGTCGTTTGAGCTTCCTAAGGCGGTTCACTTGGATGAGTGAACTGTGGAGGAGGTGTAGGAGACGGTGAGTGTCACATCCTTGGATTGGCTCAGTTGTAGCACGATATTGTCCTCTTTGGGGCCCCTCTTTGCCCTCACGATTTTGTTTTTGGGAACTTACGAGCAACTTCCCAGTGGGTCACCCATCTTAGGATTCCTCTAGCCCTAACTCGCTTAACTTCAGAGTTCCTATGATTCAGAAGCCAATGAGCTCCCAAAAGGTCTCGTGCTAGATAGAGGTGGGCATATACATATAAAGTACATTACCTCCTCTCCGTTGGTCGATGTGGGATATTACAATGAGTGGGGAATTAAGGGGCGTTTGGATGTGGGGTTTTGGTAAAACACGGTGTGTTTATGGGTGAGGGAGGATAAGGATGAGTGGAATAAGGAAGATGAAGCCATGTCCAGGAAAAGAGAGAAAGTGTGTGGAGAAGAGAGAGGTGGCACTTATTTTTGGTGGGTTTGGGACTGGGACTGGAAGAATGGTGGTGGTCTTAAGAGACAGTTGCTTTTGGTAGGTCCATTTGTGACATGTGTTCAAATAAGCCATGTTTTTCTTTTGGGTATGAATGTTAAAATGTTTCTAAAAAAAAAACAATGAATGGCAAATATACTCTTGGGTAAGTTAATCCAAAAATATATTTCACGCTAAATAAAAATAATAGTGAAAAATTAGATATCAAGTAATTCTTTTTTAAACATGTGCCAACATAAAATGAAATTGAGCCGTTGACCAACTAGTACTACTCTGCTAGCACAGTTTGAGTTACTATATTTCAAATAGCAAGAACTTCAAACTGTTATGAAAGGAAAAGCCAAAATCAGTCTACATTAAAAGTAATATTAGTAGACAAAAGGAATCACTAGGGTAATGGTTTAAAGTAATTGCTCATTGAGACAAGGTCTTGAGTTCGAGTTTTAGCATAGATGTAGTGTGTATGAATTTAATACAGTATCGCCTCTTTCAATAGGAAATATCATTTTTTTTTTTAAAGGTGACCTTAGAACACATAGGGACTTAGTCAAGTTGGTTAAAGCGGATAATGAGTTTAATACAATATCGCCTCTCTCAATAGAAAATATCATTTTTTTTTAAAGTGACCTTAGAGCACATACGGACTTAGTCAAGTTGGTTAAAACGGATGTGCTCCTCACTCTGCACCCAAGTTTGAATCTCCTGTAAATTAAAGTAGAATATCACTTGTTTTTATTTTTTATTTTTTTAAACAAACCTTAATATTTTGAAAAACAAAACAAAAAGTAACCTTACTGAAAATGTCAAGCAAAAAAATTATAAAACCAACAAAAAACAAAACCCAATAGAAGAAGAAGAAAGGAAAAAAGGAACTGAGTTTTAGATTCCCTTTATTCATATTATTTATCTTGTTTTATTAAAAATTGGACAAGGAGGACATATACAATATATATACTAAACACCCAGGAAAAGCATAAAGCCCAAAACAAACAAACACCGTCTGTTCAAAAACAAACCCAACTCCCTATCTCTCTTTCTCTATTTTTCTAAAAGGCCCGTATGATAACCATTTCGTAGTTTTTAGTGTTTTTTTTTTCTTTCCCGATTTAGTTAAACAACATTTTGTTTTTGGAGCCGTTGCCTTATTTTCTCTGTGAATTCTGATATGTTGTTTTCCTGGACAAAAGAGAAATCATGTTTCAAGGCCTGGATTCCAGGTCTGCCCACAAAAGCTCAAGC